TCTCTCTCTCTGTCTCTCTCTCTGTCTCATTGTGTCATGCGGATTACTGTTAATTTATTATGCTGATCTGTTCTGTACAACATCTATTGCACGTCTGTCCGTCCTGGAAGAGGGATCCCTTCTCAGTTGCTCTTCCTGAGGTTTCTACCGTTTTTTTTTCCCCGTTAAAGGGGTTTTTTTGGGGAGTTTTTCCTTATCCGCTGCGAGGGTCATAAGGACAGAGGGATGTCGTATGCTGTAAAGCCCTGTGAGGCAAATTGTGATTTGTGATATTGGGCTTTATAAATAAAATTGATTGACTGATTGATTGAAAATGTCGAAGTTGAGAGATGGCAAGATTTTAGAACTTCTGTCAGTAAGGGCCAGAACCGAAATCATCAGACAAATTCAAGGAACGACAAAAGACTGTTATTTTGTTATTTTTGATCAAATTACAAACCGTCTACTTGACCACAGTACGGCATGCTCTGCCCAGGAGCTACCTCTCACCCAAACCAAACAGAATATTTCCAGAAGGTGAGAACTTGTTCTAGACCTCTGAATCCAACCACTCCACTGACAATGTCCTGAACTGATTCTCCAGACATTGTCCATGGCTCTCATTGACTCTGACCTTGCATTGATGAGGTACTGGGCCAGGCTGATGTTGGCGGGGGTCCCTGTGATGGTGATCTGGCGCTCCGATGACCCTTCCATGGCATTAGCAATTTTGATCTGTGCCCCAGACATCTGACGGATCTCGTTGATTTTGGTTCCCTGGCGTCCGATTATGCAGCCTATTAGCTGGGAAGAAAATGGGGATTGGTCTTAGGATGGCCAGAACACATGGAAGATTCACACATTTTTATCTGATGAAATATTCGGATGGACTCGATATGATGCACAAGTGTACGGGCCAGGCATTGTCCGCCTTTCAACCGTAACTTTTCTTCTTTTGGTCCAAGTCAAGTCTTTTCCATTAAGGACATTCACTTTACAAAGCTGACTGCCTTTGGCTGTACTATATCTCTGCTGTGGAGAAGGAGCTCTCAATAGTTGTAGCTGATCAGCTGTCAGATTGTGTCACTGGAGGCTTCAAGAGGAAGCCAGGTTTAAAGATAATAAACCAGCGTTTTTGACGTTGTGGTCAAACAACATTTGTGAATTTGTGCTTGGATAGCAGTTAGCCCCTGACCAGTGTTTCTCTTTCATGCAGCTATTCTTGGGAAATTAATTTATAATTCAGCCAAACAATTAAGAATTCATCATCCTAATCTCTCTGTAAAATCTTAAATATTCAGGAAGGAGTCAGTGGATATGATCACAGTGTCACATTGACCTTTATGGATTTTCTGAAAAGTCATCATCCTTATTTAAAAAGATATTTAAATAAGGATGTTCTAATTTAAGGTTCAGCATATTGGCAGTAGTGGAGACAAACTGGCACAAAGTGGCCACAAATTATCAAAACTGCTGAATAGTTTTATGCAATAGTGTGGACAATGTTGTCTTTAAAGGTGGTGAGCGTGCATTTTACATATAAATGAACAGCAATTATATTCAAGCCTTCACTAAACAAGTTAACACAATGCTGATTAAGACTATGGTCACCAGGGAAAGCTCTCTGTATTCGTCAGTATACCAGGGTAGTGGTGTCTGTAGCAACTTTCCCACACTGGTGCTTTGGAAATATGCGATTAATGTCAAACAGCCAGAGCTAAAGGGGAAAGGAAAAGGGAAGGGACCATGGCAACAGAGCAGCAGCGAGAAGAATGGCCAGCCCATTCTCATTCCCAGGTTGTCAAATACCAGCCTGTTCACACTCCCAACTCATCAAATACCACTGCTTTGTCAGTGATTTCAGCGTCAGGTACCTATGTACAGAGGCACCTGTCATGGGGTTATGATATGCACTGGACCGGCTACAATCAAACTCGCCAAATACCGCTGCTTTGTCAGTGGATGTTGCCATCAGTCACCTACGCACTGAGATGCTCTTGAGGACAGTATGATATACACCAGGAGGTGGCAATTTTTCTCACTGCCAGAAACTACTGTGTTATAAAGAGCAAGAAAGCGAGAGAGTCAAATAAACACTGGACTTTCACCCAGGAGCTGGCTGCTTGTTTCCTGTGTGAAACCAAATGTCAGTGGCTTTATTTTAATAACAATGTAATGTGCTAGTATGTGTAGCATGCTGCACTAGTAACGTATGTCACATGACATGTAACGTGTGACATAACATTATGTTATGAACCGTACTTATTTTAAGGCAAACCATGATGTTTTTTTCGAAACCTAAACAGGTGCTTATGTTGCCAAAACTTAAGAAAATACATGTAAAAACATAGTGTTTTACATACGTAGTATGTTTATTTTAAAAAAGACTATGTACCTATAGGGCAGAAATTGTACATTTCCTGTGGAAATGGAAATATATTTTGAAAATGCACAATGCACGTAAGATGCATCAGTTGAGATGCTGTTTGTGCATGTCCAAAGCCAATGCAGGAGGATACTTAGCATGTCATATTAGATGTTTAGGACCACTGACAAAGCAGTAATACTTGAAGAGTTGATTTGAACAGAATGCAAATACTAACGCTTTGTCACACCCCTCAGCATCTTATACAGATACTAAAGGCAGCATTTGGCGTCTCTATGAGATGCACTGGGCTTACAACTAACACCAACGTAAACCCATCCGCGGTACTGTAGCATTGTTCCGACCTCTCATTAGTCTGACGTCCCGTTGTTCCGATATGTGATTATTACTGTATTTGTGTACCATAGAGGATCAGCAACGCAACAAAAGTAGGCTACTGGTCGAGATACAAGTGTCATAGAGAGTATAGATTGAAACACCATAACCTCCTGTTTTTAACTCTGGGGTTTGGGTTGTGTGGGGAGCTCTCCGCGGTGCTGAACGGCTCCCGGCGGGCGTATTTCTGCCTTGATGGTGCGCTGCGACCGGCTCTGGGTCAGCTGGGAAAAGCTTGAGGCGAAGCAGGCTCACAGCTTATGTGTTTGCCACTTTCTTTTTCATTTTAACCCACACCATGATCTTTTCCTAACCCTAACCAAGTGGTTTTTGTGCCTAAACCTAACCAGACCTTAACCACAGGGCATCATGATGATTTCGGAACAACGGGACTTCGGAACAATGGGTTTAATATGGTCGGAAAAATGGGATGTCGGACCAATGGGCTGTCGGAATAATGGGCAGACCCCCTCATCTGCGGCACTACTTGACCTTGAGAGCAACTGACTTAGTGTACAGAGCCTGAAAGTCGTCATAGGGTGGGACGGTGGATGGGTCAGACCAAACAAGATGTAACATTACCTAAGTAACAACAGGTTACAAACTTATTTTAACCCAAAATGGATTATTTTTTATTATTTAAGTACGAAACCTAAACGCAACTGTTTGACATTACATGTTGCAACGTGTTTCACCCGGCTACTGACGTCACTCTCCTGCGCCTCTCAGATTGCCAAATCATTTTTGAATTACGGGCACTATTTTTCAGGGCAGACCACAAAAACGAAATAGCAATGTCCTCTTTGTTTTCTTTTTGATTATGGCATAAAATGTGCAGTCTTGAAGAAGAAAATGCAAATGCAAATAGGTTGATTGATTATTAACTTTATTTATGAGTGAAATAATGCAGCCACATTCTTAAAATGAAAAAGCATTTCTGCAAATGCATTTTAATTTTCAAATTTTACATTTCAAATTGAATTTTGGTATCTATTTGCTGGGGCATATTTTGAAAATTAAATCTCAAATGTCTTTTTCTTTTTCATTTTAATTAAGTGAAAGAATGAACAGTCTTGAAGAAGAAAATTAAAATGCAAATGAGATGATAGATGATTAATTTTATTTATGAATCAAATAATGCAGCCACATTCTTAAAATGAAAAAGCATTTCTGCAAATACATTTTAATTTAAATATTAGTCACGATTTGCTTCCATACTGGTACACATTAAAAGCATGCATTCAAAGTGTTTGTGCAATTACTCCTACTTCCAGAGGGGGGAGACAAAATCCCTGCGCTCCAGCTTTAAATACATGTGATGCTGGAGGCAAAATGAAGACTGTTATCATTTAAAAATGTAAGCTCATTTAGTTTTTGATGACAGATCTTTCATTTTAGATAAAGGTCTTATTTGCAGTTTTGTTTAGGATGTCACAATTAATTCAACAAATGACAAAAAAAGCATTCATAATAAGACAAAGTTATGACAAATATACTCACATCATTGGGAATGGTGAGTTCATGAGTACTGGCCTGGTTACTGGCATCCAGACCTGCTGCTGAATACAGGAATCAGACAGAAAGAGAGGAAGGAAGGAAGAGGACATAAAATAGAGTTTGGCACAATGGGGGAGTGAACAGCATTGATGGGTTGTCCTGGCTATTCACCAGTAGCATTTCTTTGTCACTGGAAAGTCTGACTCAACCATGAGCAGAGCCTACATACACTATATAAAACTCCTATCACCTGACAAGCTGGATTGTTCTCTCTGAATGGGAAAGAAAAACACTCTGAGGCGACTGTATCATTAAAGAAATAAAATTCAGGGAAAACCAAAGAACAAAAGAAACCTCAACATCAACAAGAGCAGACCACCAGCAGGCCATGTCAATGGCAGTGCACCACAGAGACCATTAGGAGGAGAAGGACGAGAAGAAGAGAGAGCCAGGACAGAGACAGGAAAGGAAGAGAAAGAGAAAAAAGGAGGTAGAGAATGTGTTTGTCTCTACAGGTAAAAACGAGAGAAGGAGCTTTGGTAAAGAGGGTCGTCGTGTAGGTGGGTACGTACCGGGGAAGGCAGGGGTGGTCTGTCCGAGGGGGGTAAAGGGGGTTTGCTGCATAGCCAACTGGTGGAGCTTGCTCAACTGCTGAGGGGGGGAGGAGGAGGACAGCAGAGCTATGAGGTCATCGTTAAAAAACACACTCACACACACGCACACAGATACACACACGCACACAGAGGTCTGTCTGAAATGCTACAAGAGTAGAGAGAGGATCTGAGGAGAAGTTACAACACAGACAGGTGAAGGACAAAGACTGAGATAGAGAAGAGAGAAAGAAAAGAAGCTCATAGAGGACTTGGCCTGAGACTGGGATGATGGAGTGAGGCTGGCAGATAGAATGTTTGCTAAGCCCCGTCCCTTTTAGTTACTGTTGTTTTACCAGTCAAGCATAGATACAGTCCGTGTCTGGTCATTGTTAGGGGGCATGGTGAGGGCTAAGTCAGTCTGTCAATGCTGGGAAAGCACAGTTTATAAACTCACATGAGAAATGGATACATTTGCGATATATATGATTAATTAAACTTACTATAACATCAGTATCCTACAGCTATTAATGCTCTGATGTAACAGACTAGTTTTTTGAGTGAATTCCTTGCATGTTTCAAGACAGTATAGCAGCGCCAACGTTACTCAATGTCATTCACCAATGTTTTGACAATGTGCTGTTACATTATCATGCAGGGACCTTGAAACTAAAGTTACCTTGGAGAGGCCAGTCTCACTCCGAAGTTGTTGAAATCCAGCGCTTGGGCAGTGACTTGCAGTGTCAGAAACCAACGAAAAAGTCGGCATGATACATGGCCGGTTGCCATCATAGTTTACTGCACTCAGTGGCGTCAGGAGGAAATATGGCGGGACAAGGACGAAAGTTAAGGCAGGAAAAGTCAGACTAGGATGGGCGGGGTGGTGGATGTGTCCAACAAACACTGCCTTTCACCCAAGAGAGCAGTGTTTGCATCCTGTAAGATTCTAAAGCCAAACCCTGTTCTTTGTTCCCAAACCGAACTGTGTTTTTGTTGCCTAAACGCAACCATGTGCTTTTGTTGTTGAAGCAAAAAAAGCTTATTTTGAAAGAGACTGTATTCAAACTGTAAATTTCCTGTCAAAACGGAAGTGTATTTTGAAAGAAGACAATGCATGTAACAGGCAGAACTTGGCACAGTGTCCCAGAACATCAACAACCAGCGCATCCAGGGTACATTTCCCATCATATGTGGACGTGGAAAGTCCATGACCAAATGTCAATATGGCACATGCCTTGAGTGTTTATGCTCCACTCTCACTCAGTACTGGTCCAGCTTAAAAAAATGTTGTCCCCATCAGTCACTTAGACAGGTTGAAAAATACCTTTTTCTCTGGATTTTTAAGTTTATTTGATTTGCAGAAAGCCACAGAATAACTCTTCTACATGGTGGTGAATGCTTTGTTTTTTCCCCTTGGTGTAAAAAAGTTGATGTTTTGTTGCTGTTCTCTTAAATACTGACTGTATGTCATTTAATCCAGTCTGGATCCACACATACACAGTTCCTTAATACTGGAGTTACATGTACATCCATTTGCACTATTGCACTACCTAGCACCACTAAATTTTTTCAATTAAATTTTTGGACAATAGGTTCTTGATTTCAAAAATTAGCTTCATGAGTTGCTTGAGGGAGCTCTATGCAACATTCAGAACATTGATATAGTGGGGTAATGGTAGCCTGGCGTTGCCAGACCCAATTCACAAAACGCGAATGGGTCTGGACACGGACTGTATGTTTCCTCTATTCCCAAGGGGCGGTATCAACAGCTGTCACTCAAAGTGCCCCTTCACGCAATTGGAAAGACGGAAAACCAATCAGAGTAAACGAAACGTCTGACGTAGGCTAGCACAACGTCACTGTAAACAGACCAGCAAGCTGCAGCGGAGATGAGCTGTGATGATGTCTGGGAAAGAGTGTTGCCGTCTTTTCAGATTTCCTCCTCACTGTGGACTCCGAGTTGCATGGCTGTGATTCAAAGCTTGGTTGCTTCCCTGACCTGCTCCTCCATGAGAGCAACTAGCGGAGAAACAACAATAGCCACTGAGTTTTCACTGAGTCCCATCTTTTTCCCGATCAACGGAGCCAGTTGGTAAATTAAACTTTTACCAAACCCTGTAGGATGGACGGCAAACACATCCTTTTGTTCAGTAAAAGCTTTCAGTGCAGCCGTTTGTTCTGCTTTTAAAGAAAATATACATTCCAGTTCGTTCAACACATTTACCATCGCAGTTTCAAAATCAGTAGCCATGTTAGTTGTTTACCAAATGCATTCACTCCGCTACTTGTCCCTCCTATTCTGATGATGTGCCTGCCCCAAAGTAATAAACGGTTGTGATTGGCCCGGTAAGCTTTAACCGATGCCAGAATGCGCCTTTATGATTGCATGGCCAGACTGATCTGCAGAGGGAAATAGAATATGAGCTTGCAAGATTAGGATGGTTTCACCAGGCTAGAGTAATGGCGTCCTGAGCAAAGAATGAAGTTACGATACCTCTGTGTGTATTGTAATACAAGCTTCTCTCTGGTCTGTTATGGCAGACAGCTCTGCCCTGCTCTCATACGAAGGCTACCGCTGATATCAGAAAGGCAGTGGAAGCATAGTGTCCACCTTTGGTTCCTCCCCAGTTAACACCAAGAGCTGTCAGAACTGTCACTGTTGAAGTAGCTTAAATATGCACTTGACAGCTGAATATATTTGGGACTGCCTGTTGTTTCGAAGACCCAAAATTTTGCAGCCCTGTTAGTCTGAAAAATATCCCATAGGACCGAAGCCCATTTCTTCCATAGCCCGCTATCCCAAAAACAAATGCCCAGTGCTCTGAATCGCCGTTTCTCTAAAAATACACACTCCCTTCAGTTAGACAACCCAGTCACCAGAAAAAAAAAATGTTTGCATTGTACGTTTCTGTAAACCATGGATATGTTACATTTGCCAACAATAGTATGATGAATGTGTGGTAAGGTTTAGGAACAAAAACCACTTGGTTATGATCAGGATAAGATCACGTTTTGGCTTAAAGCATCCACATTTGTTGGCACGAAAGTTGCTGGAAAAGCAGGAATGCAGTGATGAAAACACCTGGGATATTTGGCTCAAACGTCACTGGGAAGCTGACTGCAGGGAGTGTATAGTTTTGGAAAAAATCTGACTTCAGTGAAAAGGGTGTTTGTTTTTGGCATAACAAGCTGTTGGAGCAATGGGCTTTCGACCCAATGGGACATCTTTCAGACTAGTGGGCTTTTGAATTTTCTCAGGGGTGAAAGTTGGTGTTTTTTTTGCTGCCTTAACTTACATTGTTGTACGGCCACATTTCCACCTGATACTGTCAGGAACTGTTACAGACCAACAGTGCTTGGCCACGTATTTTGCCAATGTGAAAAGACAGCTTTTTCGTCTGTGTCTGACATGCAGGTCACTGAGGAGCGCCAGTATTTGATGACTTTGGAATGAGACCGGGTTGGTGTAGCATACCATGATGTATATCACACGACTTTACATTACAGTAGTATAGCAAAAGTACTTTTTTTAAAGCCAAACTATGCCTAACCTCGTACTTTCATTGCCTAAACCCAAGGAAAGAACCTGTAAATTTCCTGCAAAAACAAAAAAGACACAATGCATTTAATAAGCTTAAATTGACATGCCGTCCCTGAACAGCCAAAACATGATGCTGGAGGGAAGAGCGTCATAGTTTGACATTAAGGGCCACTGACCAAGCATCGGTAATTGATGAGTCTGGAGTGAGAACGTGTTGAGCTTCCTTTTAAAAGCTAATTCATCACAGTAATGTTTTAAGCATGTAGTCTTTTAATTTTATGAAAGTAACATTATGAAGGAGTCAGGAACTGTGAGTTTTAAAAGCTTACATTAAAGGGCATCTCCATCATCTGAAATCAGCCACCAGCGCTGCCTTTTACAGCTACATCAGTCATTGTTTTATTCCGGTTTGTCTTCTGCTTCTGATTTTGAATTAATGCTTTTTGTCAACTGACATTTAAGTATTGAATGTCAGAACAAAAAAAAGCTTTCAAAAATATGGTCCCAACTGCGTTTCTATAAGGCTGTAACATTCCGATGGATGACTTACTTAAAGCAGGTTTTACGTCTCAGGTTGATTGTTATGTTGTGCTGACATAAAGTGGAACCACCAGCCACCAGGCCAAGCCCCATGAGGTTTAATGCCAAACAAAGGGCAGGGAGGCAAGAGTCAGAAAAGTTAGAAAGATATAGGAATTACATATCAGAAAAAAAGCTGTATTAATATTAGCAATTAATATTAATATGGGCGGAAAGAGAGTAAAGAGCCTGCGACTGCAGCGAGACAGAATTATGGAGAGTGAAGTGTTGACTGCCTGGTGGGGTTAGCACTCACATCTGGATGTGGGATGGCGTACTGTCCTTGAATGGTATAAGCCTGCAAACATGAGGAGAAGAGCTTATTGTTATCACGTTACATCATCACAACAAGCTGACCAAAACAATACATATACTGTATTTAATCCGTTTAAATCTGTTAACTCTACAACAAATGGAGACTGGAACAAAATGCAATAGAAGAAAAATGAGAAACAACACAAGCACTCTACAGACTCATATTTTTAACCTTATCTTCCAAGAAAGTCATGCAATATAGTTCCCTGACTGTTCATCAATCAGATCCAGTTGAACTAAATCAATAAAGGACAGCTCAGACAGTGGGGTGGTGGCAAGAAGAGTGTGGGGAGAAACCAGAGGAGTGGCCGCGAGGGGAGTAATGTGACTCAACCTATTGGATGTGTAGTTTATAGGGGCCACAGAGGTCAGAACTGAGCTAAATTTCATTTCATCAGTCAAGACGGCAACCACAGCACGACTGTAACCAGGAGATATATCATGTCAGCTCTTCCAGGCTGCTTCTCAATAATGCCCTATGTAGAAATTTTAAAGAAACTAGAATTTAATAGAAATATGTTGAATGTTTATTGGCTAACTGTCAGCTTGTTAATTGATGAGAATATCAAGTAATGTATCAACCAGAATGCCAAGAATATGCTATCTGCAACTTCTTAATTGTGAGGGTTTGCCATTTTTCTTTGTCTTTTGTCAAATATTTCAAAGTTTTAGATTATTTAAAGAAGATTTTCCCCAATCTTAAAGCTACTTAAGAGAAAAACTGAAATGTTAAGAAAACTGGATATTAAGGGGTAGGAATTTCTGGTATCAAGAGATGAAGTGATTAGTTGCATTTTCACATGTATTAGCACAGAAAGAGTAGCTGATGTGTCTGCATCAATCATCATGGGGATCCTAATAAATACAAATACAAACTGACTTGTGGATTAACAGTAATCAACTGTAATTTTGATAACCCTTATAATGTGTAAGTCATTTTTAAGCAAAAATGCTAAAAAGAGTAATTGGTTCTAGTTTTTCCATATATAAATATTAGCTGAATGTGTTGGTGAAGAGTCTCAATCATCCAGGTCAGGGTGATCTTAAGTGCTATAGGCAACTGGACTTGTTTGAGTTTCTTTTTTGATGTTTCACCTCTCACCTTCACCTCTTCTTCAGTTCTGAAGAACTGAAACATAGAACGCCTTCAGGAAACCAAAGCAAGCCCAGCTGCCTACAATATAGCTCTTAAGATTACCGTGACCTGGATGACTAAGAATCTTCACCAATATGTTACTTAACGTTTGGGAAGAATGCCCTTCTAATGATATGGGAATACAGTACGAAAGATCAGAACTGAAGAAGCCTCTTGGATGAGAGGTGAAACGTCTTCAAGAAACTCAAGTAAGTCTAGCTGCCTACAGTACAGCACTTAAGATTAGCTCAATGTCTTAGTTTCATATCATAGTAAACTCTGAAAAGGTCTGTTGGTCCAGGCATTGGAAACCTTTCCTATCAAAAAAGCCATTTTTGGTCCATAAGATCATCTGTCTGGAGCTGTAAATTAAATTTGAGCTTCCTCATAAAGGTTACAGCCTATTAAGCCCAAAGCTTCTCAACATCAGTAATAGGTCTAAATGAGTATTCATTCATTAATGTGTTTAACCACAAGGTGGCTACTCTGCAGGGCGCTATTATGATGATGTGGTACTTTAACTTTGTAGCGTTGGCAGTAAAAGCAAACAAGTCTGTCGGCGCGCTTTTAAATTCTCAATTTTCCTGCCACACCAAGCTAGAGAGATTAAAGACCAGCTTTACCTATAAAGGTTCAGCAAAAGTTAGAGGAAAAGGTACCAGACTGTAAACGTGATGCACATTTTAGTTGATGAAATGTTAAAACTTTTTTTTTATGTGTAGGCTAGGGGTGTAAGTATAGACAGTGCAGGTAGGGCAGTTGTTCTAGGGCCCATGGGGTGAGAGGTCCCATTTAGAGTGGGCCCTCCAACTGTTAGGCAGACTACGGGCCCTTGTGAGTAATTTAGATTGCCACCATAGAAATATGCCTTTAAACCCACCTCTATCATGGTTGTCTTTTTTTATTTTATTTATTTTATTGTCAAATAGCCAGTAGCAATTTATAATATATATGCTTACTCTACATAGATTATAAATGAAGTATAAGAAAATGTTCAATTAAATGAATAATTCCTTGTTTTCTTTGGTATGCAATGATGATTTCTGACTGATGTGTATGTTGGTGTTGAATGTCAAGTCTCTATTTGATCATGTGACAATAACATTATACAGTAGCTAGTTTAGGCGCATAAAAAGTAACTAGCAGGCCTCATGGCCCATCATAATAACGTGCACTGGGGCCTGTTGTAATTACTGTACACCACTGAAATAGGCTGCGTATTTTTACAATAGGAGAATGTCAGAGTTTAGGCCTACAAGATAAGATATGATATGATAAGAGATTCAGGGCTCTAGTTTCCTGGTGCGGCGCAGGGTGGCGCAGGGTGGCGAACCCCACGCAGAGCTAGTTTCGAGCAGCGCAACCTGAGGCGCGCTCAGTTTGGTAGTTTGGCAGACCGAGGTGCGCTGATATGGGTGTGGCTGCGCAGCAGGGTGAGGTGTTGACAGATCCAGCTTGGCGCAGTGACAGTTTCGTGCCAAAAGGCTTCGCTGAAGGTGCGCTAAAAGCTCGCCAACTGAAACCAGGTCTACTGTCAGCGCAGGCGGAGCGCAACCAGTGTAAGCTGAAGTTTGGCTGACCGGCGGACAGTGCGCACACGTCACCAAAACCTCACAGGCAGGTTTCCAGAATATCAGGCACATCAACGATGCAATAAATACCCAAAAACACTATTCAATGCAACTATCTGCAATCAGCACATAAATGTATCTCTATATCGACTGTCCCGTCACATCTGATGTCAGATCAAAGGGGACTGGCACCGTTTGGCACGTTTAGCACGTGTAATGGAAACCCAACCTGATTCAGCTGCAAACTAATGCGTTCACATCCCTCTCAGCCAACCACAAACAGCCACAGCATCAGATAGGGAGTATATATTCAGCATCTGTCATCTTAGAAAAGTCAAAAGAAAAGAAACAGGGTGAGACTGCGAGAGAGAAAGAGAGCGCGCGCACAAGTTAAACGCAACATTGATTTACAATTGTGGTGACCTCCTCCCAGGCTACCTTTGCATCATCAGCCCGTGGAGGTCTGCTCGCAGTTCCGTATATTCGGACACTGCGAGCAGACCTCCCGGACCAAAACATCAGTTTCCTCCTGGGAGAAGTTTGGCTGTCTGACGCTGCTGCTCTCTTCTGCCATGGCGAATTGAGTAAACTCTCATTACGCCTTCATGCAGCGCATTTAAGGGCGAGGAGAGGGGCTCATTTGATTGGTGTGATGTGAATGGGCTGTGTAAAACCCACTCCACGCCTTCTCTCCTCCCTCTTTCCAACTTGGGCCGGTAGGAGGGACGGAGGTGGGATAGAGGAGTAGCTGCGCCAAGCGCACGGTGCGCCAAACTTACAAAATCCACCTGGCCACACCCAGTTGGCGAAGCGCAGGTGCGCTGCGCCTCTGCCGCGCCCGGTCTGCGAAACTAGAGCCCTCAGTGTGTTAGTCATTTTTTTATGCTGAATTTCTTAGTTTTTTTATATGATAGGAAACTGTTGAGTTTTGTTCAGTTGGTCAAACAAATATTAGAAAACCGTAATGGGCTTAACTGTCTTTTGATTATTTTTTGAGATACAGGGGCATAGGTTTTGTTTTAACACTAAGGGGAACACATATGAAAGGGGGAGTTTGGGGTCCTCCGCAAGGAAATTTCAAATTATGGTGAAACAGGAGCATTAAAAAATCAATTTTCCTGCATTTTTTGTGAATTATTATGCACCAATCCAGGCATTTTTTGCATCAATTTATGGTGTAAATGTCTTGATTTAATCATTTTGTTGTTTTATCTGTTCATTACTATGCAATATTTAATCCTCTGCACTTACTTTTTGTGCACTTTATGTCATCGTGTCCATGTTGAATATCTTGCAAAATGTTCTTTACTGCACCTACATTTGTGAGTAACGACATTTCATTCACTGTATACTACTGTTTATAGAGAATATAGACAATAAAATTAAATTGAATTGATTTCACCAAATTAAAAGTCACAGGCTACTTTAATGTTTTAACTGGGGAAGACAAATGCATGTGTTTTAAATATCCTGTCCCCTGCGCCCACCCCTGAAATCTACACCTATGTGTGGACAATAAGATTACTTGATTAATAATGTAATCATCATATTAACTGATAATGAAAACAATAAGTTGTTGCTGCCTGATGTGAGATGCTGTTAATGGCAGAGTTACATTTATACCTGTCTCGATGTCCCTTAAATATTACCTTTGAAGTTTGTGTTGTTCACCCTCATCTCCTGTCATTCACATCCAGTCCACTAGCCCCTATTGAATTTTCTTTGCTCTGCAGATCACCTGATTTAGTCCTCTGTCTACACACCTGCATACCTTTAACCTCCTCTGTTTACCTTTTACTCTCCTACCTGGGTCAGTTTTCATATTCTTGCTGAATAAATCAATTTATCTCAACATGAGCAGGATGTTAAGTTTACTTTTGGATCCAAGTTTAAAATTAAAGATATTTTACCCCAACTCTGTTAGCCTAATTATTTCTGTCCCAGTGAGACAGAAGCATTCAGATTTGCTATTTTGTGAGTAAAGTAAAATTTTTTACCTCTGTCCATTCTGGATCATTAAGGAGTCCCAGCAAAGGGGAGCACAAGGATGTTTTCACCACCTCTGCTCTCATCAATTATCAGGTAATCTTGTTATTTATATTCCCTGTGTTGCCATTTAGCCCAGTTCTGGTTTGAGTGGCTGCAGGTGATGGATGACAATGAGGGCACAGTAAACAGCAGTGATGGTTTCATGCTCGTCAGGGGCGGGTGGGGTCAGTGAGGAAGGGAGGAAAAGTGAGTAAAACCTGGTGCGACACTAACAGGCAGTGGCTGGTGCTGCAGTAAGAGGCTGAGGTTGGCTGTGGACGCCCCCAGTGGGTCTGCTCTTACCTGGCCACCTGAAAAAATGACAGGGGTGGAGGCAGGCTTGGGGCGGTAGGGGATGGTGGCACCTTTCGGTGGGGACTGAGGAGAGCAAAGGAGGAGGAGAGAGTGGGGGGAGGAAGAAGAAGGAGGGGTGAGAGGTGGAGAGAGTGTTAGAGCAGAGAGAAAAGAAACAGAAAGAGAGAAAGAAAAGAAGTTGCATAAAGTGAAAACCAAGAGGGACAGTGCCTTAGGGAAGACAACCTGTGACACCCACACAAAAGTGCTCTTCACTGTGTGTTCATGCTGACATCAAATGTCCAAATCATGGTTCAGTGCACAACTACACTTGTATTTACCTGGAACACTTTCAACTGGATAATGATGATTACTGTGTTTTAAATAACGTTTAAAGTCCACATTTTAAAGACTTACAGTCATGTCACATATCTCCTAGCATCCATGGCTGGTGCCATCATGAAGGCCCAACGGAGAACTGGCTGTGCAGATAGTTCAAATTAATGGTGCAAGAAAAAGAGAGACAACTAGAAAGAGTGTAGCCCTTTGATCCAAAGCATTATGACTTGTGTGTAGAGAAGAGTCAGCAGCAAACAGTTGGTTTTAGGCCAATTTTGACAAGCAACTGTGAGTTTCTGCTTTATTTTTTTACTGTGAAACTGCTGTTTCATGTGACAATGCCAGGAGAATCAGTCTAATCAAATTTGTTGACTCAAAAGTTTGGACCCAGAGAAATATTTTTCCTCTTCGACTGTTTGAGATATTGTCCGAAGAGATGTCTGCCTTCTCCAGTATATTAAAACATAAAAATCATTTGAATAATTCAACAGCAATGTCCCTTTCCAGAAATCATAACCTGGTTACTCTAGATAATCCACAGACCTTGTTGTGAGCAGTTTCAGGTCTTTCTACTGAACTACACGGGTAGAGGAAATGTGCACCTACTTATGGATGAGAGGCTTATACTCATGACATTGTGAGATGTAAACATTAATGCCATCCTCCCTGCTGCCACCCTAATGATGAACTTTATTTTAATTCTGTTGAGTTTTACAGGACCTCCTTCTCCTTTGGGATGCTTTAAGATTGTACTTGGATTTTGGAGATAAGAAACGACCTGAGTTAACTGTCAATGACCTGCTGAAAGGAAATTAAAGCTGCCTCTTCTTCTGAACCTTCTATTTTTGCCTGTTGTATTGAAGTGCCCCACTTCAGCCTGCCTCAATGAGCTCTCATGACATTACAGGGTGTAGTTCAGTAGAAAGTTCCTAAACGAAACTGCTCTCAACAAGATCTGTGGATTACCTTGAGTAATGGGGTCATGATTTCTGGAAAGAGACTTTGCTGTTGAGTTTTTCAAATGGATTTTTTTTTTTTGCAGCACCACAAACTGAGTGCCATATAGTTTGATAATACTGGAGAGAAGGCAGACATCTCTGCAGCCGATATCTCCAACATTTGGCAACTCACGCCAAAACAATCTGATTTCAACCTGATGAATAGAACAACAGGTAAGAGGAAAAGTATGTATTTTTGATTTTGGGATGGACCGACCCTTTAAGATTTTTAAGGTTTTGCTTGTATTTGTAGTTGCATGTTCATCGTTAGTGGCGCAGTCCACCATTCAGATTCACAGATAGTGATGCCCAGTTGGCTGTAAACTTAAGGATTATAACTGTAAACTACTGTATCTTTCATATCAGGCATTTTAGAAACAACATACTGTTTGTTGAAATGTAAATAAAATTTCTTTTTCCCCCTCCCCTCCATACTGTACCTCAAGCATCACCACACATATCTGTTTGACACACTGGATGATGGCTTCTGGGGCCCCTGAAATGGTCACTGCTCTCTCGGTGGAGTTGGGGAGCATGTCACCTGCAACCTGGACCTGAGCTCCTGTGGACTAAAGGTAGGAAGAATATTTATTAAATCTGAATTTATATGACGAAATGTACATAATGCATAGAGGATTATGCAGGATTTAAAGCTTAAATGGGAACTACATGAACCAATACGAGATTTATGGCTGATGAAATCCTCTGATCTTTGTAGAGAACACTAATATAGAGGGAAATATTCTTTGTACTCTACCTCTCTCATTTCTTTGATTTTGGAGCCTCCCTTGCCAATAAGAGAGCCACACTGGCTGGCCGGGACAACGAGCCTCAGGGTTACAGGTGGTTTACTGGTGGCTGGACTGTTGCTCATAGAGTTGATGATATCCTGATGGGAGGAAAGACCAGGTGTTATCAGTTAAATGCATCAGTTACTGTATGTGCAGTGGTGACTTCAGAGAAATCAACCTTCATGCGTATATCCTGCAGCAGTAGAAAGTGTGGAAAACTCTCTCTTGGATATGTGTTTGTGCAGTGTTGTGGTATTACTTTTACTTAAGTAAAGATTCTGACTTGCTCTCCTGTTAACATCCAAGTGTTTTATTATCCAAACATACAGTAATGTCTTACAATAACACATACTGGACTTTGATAAACATATAATGTGTTATAGACACTTTATCATGTCTTTATAAACTGCTTCTAAATTATAAATAGTGGGATTAAAGTATGGTTCATCTAAATGTGTGCATGTGGAAATTACTAGTATTGCCCTCCTCTCCAAATTGGCATGTACGCTTTCATTCCTAGCAGAGGTTTATGTGTAGTGTTTTGGAGACTCTTTGGTTTGGTCCGGCAGGCTGGAAGCGTGATGATACGGCGCCCAAATTAAAACACAGTACTGGCCCACTTTCAAAGGGTGCTGCAAGGTTAGATCAGCACATTTCTGTCCTACATAACACGGCGAAGCCTGCTTTGTATTCCATTTGGAAACCAGACAGTATACAGACACTGAAGCATAACAGTGTTGGGATGTACTTAAGTAAAAATTTAAGGAACTTGTACGTACTTGTAATATATATTTTTCTTTCATGCCACTTTATATTTTTCTATATACTTTAATATACTTTAATGCATAAATGCCAAATATTTCATGGATCTAGCTCCTCATATGTCAGGATTTTAATTCTTTTAAATAATTTTGAGGTTGGACTTTAGTTGAAAAAAAACAAATGTGAAGGCATCACTGTTTTGTGAAATTTTCTAAAACAAAAAAATTAATTGAGAAAATAATCAGGAGATTAATCAGTCTTATACAAAATAGTTATAAAACATCCTGCTTCTACATGAATCCATAAGTATAATAATATCATAGATAATACTATAACAATCAGTGCCTTTACATGACGTTAGAGAAAATCAATTTATTGTATCAGTCAGACTACATTTTAAATACATGTAAACTTGTACAGTAAGTCCAACATCAAATTTCTCAAAGTTGGACTAACACCCAGATAATTAGATCGGGAGCTGAATTACTCCTGCATGTATACAGTCAGTCGGACCCAAACTGGCCTTGGCTCTCTGTGCATGCTCCACAGTGTCTGCTCCAAGCTTTGACCCGGAAGTCGAGTTGCATTAAATGCGTAACAGACGAAGAAGCCGATAACAACTCAGTGAAATCTACATCCAGAGCTGTGTATTTTTGGACGGACGAGGAGACACAGTTCATGGTCCCTAAAGTGTCCAAAGGAGCCAGAGCCTTCAGCTATCAGGCTCCTCTCCTGTGGAATCATCTTCCTGTTACGGTCTGGGAGGCAGACACCATCTCCACATTTGAGACTAGACTTAAGACTTTCCTCTTTGATAAAGCTTATAGTTAGGGCTGGCTCAGGCTTGCCTTGTACCAGCCCCTAGTTAGGCTGACTTATGCTGCATTCACATGGAATCAGGCAAACGGCAGATGGCAAACCAGATGTCATGTTAGTGGACGAGAGAAGGACAGTAAAACTTGGTCGAGGCTGGCAGAGAATACCGTCTACGGCAACGGTAGACGGCAATGCCGTCCAAAGTTAAAAAATTTTAACTTTTACCTTTCACCGGCCACAGAATACTCGACCGGATGTGACATAGTTCCAAAACAGAAAAAAAACATGGCTGAACTCGACAACGAAAAGCTAGTGCTTTTGGTGCAGCAGCACCCAGAATTATATGACCAAACTTTAAAAGCCTATCGTGATGCTTCCAAGAAGGCGTACATATGGGACGCGATTAGCGCAGAGCTGGGTGGAGTACCCGGTATGTAATATGAAACGTAACGTTATGAATTGCTGTATTAGCTTAGCGAGCTATCTGGCTAACGTTAGCTCTCTGTAGCCCAAAAACATCGCCATAGCAACAATCATGTGTCACGAGTCACGTGTGTCTCATTTTGCCGTTGTGCCGTTCCGTTGGACCGCTTGTTTATTTCTCCCGTTGCGTCCAGCAGATGTCTCCTGTCTGCCGCCTGCCTGATTCCATGTGAATGTGGCATTAGGCCTAGTCTGCCGGGGTACCTCCTATAATACACCAAGCACCTTCTCTCCTTCTCTCTCTCTCTCTCAATCTCTCTCTCTCTCTCTCTTTCTCTCTCTCTCTCCTTTGCTAACACTCATGTCCTGTTACTGCATCTCGCTAACTCGACTGTACTGCATGTCACTAACTTGGCCTCTTTGTGCTTCACTGTCTTGCAGGTTAACTTATATCGCAGCGGTGCCTGGATAGTGTGACGTGTGTGGTTGTGCTGCTGCTGCAGTCCTGCCTGATGCCTCCTGCTGCTGTTACACATATGATTATTGTCACATACGTATACTATCAGATATTAATATATACTTTCAACATATTGTACCACAGTAGCCAGAATTATTATTATAATATTATTACTTTCATTAATGTTGTTGTAAGCTACTGTCATTACCGTCTGTCCTGCATCTCTCTCTCTCTCTCTCTCTCTCTCTGTCTCTCTCTCTCTCTTTTTCTGTCTCATTGTGTCATACGGATTACTGTTAATTTATCATGTTGATCTGTTCTGTACGACATCTATTGCACGTCTGTCCGTCCTGGAAGAGGGATCCCTCCTCAGCTGCTCTTCCTGAGGTTTCTACCGTTTTTCCTTATCCACTGCAAGGGTCCAAAGGACAGAGGAATGTCGTATGCTGTAAAGCCCTGTGAGGCAAATTGTGATTTGTGATATTGGTTGATTGATTGATGGTCTGTAAGCTGAAAGAGTTAAATATTTTGAAATACATGGATGGGAGGAAAACGAGGAATGGTGACCTGTTCAGAAAAGTGGCGAAACAGCTGGACGATGCTCGATTGTTTGGTCAGTGATGTAGAAGGTGAACCACAAAAAGGTCCAATACTGACAAGCTGAAAGGGGCATATCACCACCTGTTGTAGCAGAGTCGGACATACTTCAGTCAATAAATGGATTCTCTCCTCGTACTTGTATACTGGGACAAGGACAGTAGTCCAATTAAATGGCCTAGTTGAGTCACAACTGTAGCTCGACTTAACTGTGCATGTAAATATACAGTCACAGGGGACATTTCTCTGCAATGAGTACTTTTACTTTTAATTCTTTATGTACAATGTCCTGATTATACTTTCACACTTTCACTTAAAGAGGACATATAATGCTTATCCTTATTTTTTGTCATATATATATACATATATATATATATAGATAGATAGATAGATAGATAGATAGATAGATAGATTTAGACTTTTCTGAATACCCTGTTTACAAATTTTTTTCTACTTTGGCAACGAGATGACATCAGCTCGTTAGGGATTTTTCTGTATAATCACCTGCTGCATGCCCTGCTGCAAGTGTTTACATTATATAGCTACAATGCTACTTGAGGCTACATGCTAACATCAGGGAAAAATGTTGTGCAGATTTTGGTTTAGAAGCTTTTACAGGTTGGCCTAATTTTCACAGTAAAAGGTCATTCCGTGAGTGCTAGTAGCCTACACTACTACAGTAGTCTTGGTTGCTAATGTTTTTAATTTCAGCCAGATTTTGAATCATATTCCTGCCGCAACATGTCTGGTGGTGAAAATTTTTATTTAGAAACTTTTCTTCATGTCTTTTCACATCTGAATGTGCCACTATAGTTTGTTATAGTCATTCCTCAGCTGCAAGTACACTGCTACATGTAGCTACATGCTAGTGTCAGAGAAACATGTAGCCTAATCTTATTTGCTGCTTTTGCTCATTTCTCCCCAATTTTGAATCATATTCCTGCTGGAACATGTCCAATTGTGAAGACTTTTGTTTAGAAGCTTTTATTTATGGCTTTTTTATGGTAGAAAGTGCTGCTATTCCCTGTTACACTCATTCCCTGCCTGCAATAATGGCAAAAAGATGCCGAGATATGCAAGAACGGAAATGCTGACCAATCAGAGCAGACTGGGCTTTTTTGGGAGAGACACTTAAGGCCCAAAAACACTGGCGGCGAATGCTGTGCCTCAAAAAACATGCCCCTTTTAATTTCAATGTACAACCCCACGCCAGTAGCTGCTAGATGTGTGTTGGCGCTCCTGAACGGGCTGCCCACTGCACTTCACCCAACTATCCCATGTTCTAGTAGAAACACCAAATACAAGTATGAACCTGAATAGGAACAAAATAGGTCCCCTTAAAGCAACATTTTCAGTGCAGGAACTGTATTTTTACAGTGTAGTGTTAATGAATGAATACTTCCTCCACAACTGTAGCATACCCAGTGTTATTGACTGAGACTTGTGGTGTTTATATGATGGATGTTATACCTCCTCGAACTTGTAGGCTATCATGGCAAAGGCCTTGAAAATAGCATCTGTTGGCCCGGTGATGGTGACTATCCGTTCAGGGCAGTTCCCCTCTGAGATGTTGATGCGGGCACCACTCTATAAGGTAAAAAAGATGCACGATTATGGGACAAAACCTCATACTGGGAGTGTTAAAAACAACTGATCATTTGCAGAAAAGTTCTACATACATCTTCACGCATTTTCTTCACTGTTTCTCCTTTCTGGAAGTAAAGGAAAAGAGATGTTATTAAGATGTATTTCTCCCAGGCGTTCTGATGCTTTACATGGTCTGATTGTTTTGTCTGTGATAAATACCTTTCCTATGATGCTCCCAACCTCCTGCAGAAACACAAAAAATGTTAGGTGTATTTGTGCCACAGGGGGCCTTGAAATGATCTATTTTCTTCTGACAGATAATTAGATATAAAGGCAGTGCAAGAAAAAAGTTACAGAATAGTTTAGAAGCTTTTATTTTGTTTTCATACCTTGCCGTGCATCAGCAGCCTGATGGTGAGGGTCACATTCAGTCCACCTTCTGATTGGACCTTGATGGGCTCCATGTCGGGATTGGATGTGAAGGAAGGGGCGTGGTCACGTGAGAGAGGAGTTCAAGGGCCAACGCGAGTGTGATGGTGGAGTCAGCCAACCGGTCACCTGAAAACGATACAGAAACACCTGCTGAGATTAGGCTGGTTTTAATTTTCTTCTTGCTGTGTCTCCTGGCTGTGGATGTGGATGGACACCGAGGTACTCTAGTTAGTTAAGTCAATGTGAATTTTCAAATCAGAAATGAAAATATAAACTGGTACATTATTTGGATAGTTTTATGTTGATTGTCGTCCATCAAATGACAAAAGGCAGGATACAAACCATGCAAATCTAACACGACTATTACTGTTTAACACTTCTTAAATTCACTCAAAGCTTATTGCTGGATAGCAAGTTTAGAAGTTTAAAGGGATAGTAGGTATTTTTTGAAGTGGGGTTGTATTTGTTACTCATCCAAAGTCAGTGTATCACTTTCAGTAGATGGCGGTCGACATGCCCCCAGTTGGAGAAGCAGGCTTGAGTGTACAGGAGCAAAATGCATTTAAGCCACATAAAAAACCAACATCAGTGTAAGTATACAATATATTTAGAATATTCTTACAACTTTACCTTACCATCAGACAGTAATTTTCAATGCAGAAGCCGTTAATAGCTTCAGTTCCCCTTCTACTCTTGTCAAAGCCACCGGATTCCATTGAGAAAAACAGCAATTTAACACGGGAGCTGCTGGTATACTGCTGCCGCAATCAGTTTGTGTTATTGTGTGACTTTGGTGAATCCTTTAAAGACTGAAGTCACAAATAAAATAAACACAAAATAAACAAACTGAACGAGGCAACAGTAGACCAGCAGCTCCTGTTTTCAGCAATGTTGAAATACTGTTTTTCTTATTGGAGTCTGGCTTTGAAGAGAGTGATATAACAGCCTCAGTTCCCCATTGGAAAAGGCTGTCTGACAGCAAGGTAAAGTGGTGAAAATATTCTTAATATATCATACACTTTAACTGAATTTTTTTTTTGTTGGCTAAAATATATTTTGCTGCTGCCCAGCAGTATATTGCTTAGCTTCTATGTTGAACTCCTGCCTGCTTCTCCAAACTGGGAGTATGCCAACCACCCCAAGGGTAATTACTTCATACAACCCCATTTCAAAAAAATTCCACATGCCTTTAAGCACATAGGACAACTGGAATACAATGTGACTGCAGAGGTACTTGTTTTACAAAGTGAAGTTTACCAACCAGTAAACTGAGGTCCTGAAAGCTCCTGGTTTACTATGTAGTTTGGGCTAAATGTTCACAACTAATGCACAATATATACTTAAATTTAAGAAAGGATAATTATGCTAATATTCTATAATTTCTTGTCAACAAATCCCCAAAAAAACAATGTGTTACTCCTTCTCTCAGTACTCTCTGACTTCCCTATCATCCCCTTCTTATTCCCAGGTCATCAAAAACAGACGCTTTGTCACTACCCTCTGCGTTTGATAGCGACGCACAGGGCACCATTTAGCATCTCTATGTGATGCACAGCTGAAACACATTGTAACACATTGCTTATGTTGAGAAATGGTTGTGGTTAGGTTAAGACAACCACACTATGTGGTTAGGTGAAGAACAAAGATCATGTTTTAGTTTAGAATAAGTAATTAAATGCGACCTTACGTAAATTATATAAAGTTAACATTACGTTAAAACAACAATGACTTTTGCTTTGACACAGGACATGAACTTCGATCTCCTGGGTGAAATACTGTTTTTTTTTTAACCAGCCATCTCCATGCCCTCCCTCCCTTTGCAGACTTTCTTGCTCTTTATACAATGTTAGTGACTCGAAGCGTCAAGTATTGCTTTGGATGGGTCTACACTGGGGTTAGCTGAAACCCTTGTGCATCTTATAAAGACGCTAAAGGGTGCATTTGGCGTTGATATCATGAAGTGTCTCTACTTGACAACCTGAATATAAGAACAGGCTGTCCCTTCTCTGCCTGCGGCACTCCACCCAAACCCTATTGGTTCCTATGGTAGATGTAAAACTATAGAAATAGGCTACAATTATTCAGTTTTATTAATAAAAGAGACTCTGATTTCCTAAAACAGCTGGTCACTGTACTTTTTAGCAAACACTACTCGAACTGGTGTAAAAAGCAAATTTTTTGGGGGGACTATTTACAGCTACGGATTGATAAATACTTGGTGGTCCAATGGGTGTTTTTAACAGCAGGACAGTTGATGTAGGGTTGAGTCATTCTGTGTTGATGGTGATGAAGGAAGATGTCAGTGCATCAGTGTGACTCTTGCTGTTTTTCCAAACAACAATGGAGCTTTATGACAGAGAAATAAACTATATCAGTATATCAGGCTCTGATAGGCACAAGACACTTGTTAGTAGATCATTCAGTTTTGGTTTAGTCTTGTATTAAGACATATACAGAATACTAGCAAACCTATCCTTTATCTTCAGATTGTGTTATGAACTTGGAAGCCCTGTCTTAAAGATGGTCTTAAAATCTAGTTTTAGGAATTTACGTTTTGTGCTTATATGTTGCATTTTAATCAAGCTGGGTGGTAATTATTTTAATACAGTAAGAACTGCACAGGAAGAGGGATAAAAATGGGTTAACTCAGGCCTAGTGTCTAATTTTTACCCCAAGGGTGAAATCCCAAGATGATAAAATTCATTGTAGGGTGTAAAAATACTCCAACAATCCTGGTTACAAACAAGTTACCATGTCCCTGTCTGCAGCACACAACAGTTTGCAACAAAAAGCCATCGAAATGTAGGTCAGCATATGTCTCTTCAGTCACGAGATGAGCCATCGAACGCTGAGCGCCATATTTATTTTTATCAAGCCCATTTCAGCTGGAACCCATCTAATTCTGGCTGACAAGTGATGTAATGACTCAAGCAAGTCTTCAGTTAGCAAAGCGGCCACAGGAGGGTGCTGCAGTCCTGACAGTGGAGCTATCATTCACTGCAGTCAGGGCTGGCTGGTTTTCATATGGTGCACATTTGAAACTTTTGTGTTACGAGATCGATCCGAAATGTCTTCAGGTATTCATATTGTGAGGTTTTAGAGAATTTAAGGTCACCCTGCTTTAGTTAATGGCTCTAAATGATGGCAAAAATACCAAAATTTGCCACTAAATTTGAATAGATACCCTTTTCTCTAGAAGAGGAAACACATTTAGAATGTGAGATTGCAGGCACTCAACTTTTAAGTCGATGATAATGATTGTAGATGATGTGCTTTACTTCTTAATGATAAAAAATGAATGTAAATAAAGAATAAATTAATGGAATACGAGGCAGATTAAATTAACTGTTGGGAGTAAGACAATGTTAAATTAAAATGAATATTTTTCGTACCAAGAAAATAAAAATGCAGGCAGGGACCTTCACATTAAGTACTCCAGCTACAGTTTTCTACAGTGTGAGTTTAATAAAATGATAAAACATATGAAGGAAAACATCTGCAGCACTAAATCATGTATTTTGCAGCTAGCTAAAAGACATAATGTGGGAAAGAAAAGCTCCTGAAGCAGCTGACCTTGACTGAAGAGACAGTTAATGTCACCGTCTGCCAATCAGAGGCATTGTTGCTATGTGGGAATGAAAATCACTCCCCTCCCTTCACCGTGTGATCACTAATTAGCCGATTGAGTTTATAGTTATGGTCTTGAAAGGGAAAATAAATAAGAATGTCTGACATTAGTCAAAGAAAATCAATTAAATGATTGGACCTGTGGCACAAACTTGAAAAAGTAGATGTTCCAGTCCAGCCTTTGACCTTGCTGTCACCCTCTTGAGGCTGTCATCACTGAAACAACAAGCCTAATTTAACAGCTTAATGCCCCTGAATGGTGCTCATGTTGGCTAAAGAGCTATACACTCAGCCCAGTTACCAGAAGAAAATGTTGGCATTGTACGTTTCTGTAAACCATGGATACATTTTTATGTTTCATAAGCATGATATCAACATTTCTAAAGTGATAGTAAATATGAGCTGACTTTGGGGAGGGGATGACGATGACAATGATGATGATGTGTCACCAAGGAAAGATGCCTGCCAATCTGTAGACCACTGTTCAAGACCAACAAACAACAAAACTGGTTGTTATGCAGCCTGTTGCTGTCTTGCAAGCGAGCATAGTGCCATGAAAAGCAGTTGTTTTTTAGTTAATCAGTGTTAACTAACACGATATTTTTATCTGTGAATGATAAGTCAAAATAAACGTTATTTTGACTGCCCTATCTGTTATTAAAACATCACTGCATTTCGTGCTGGTATGGTTGCATCAAAAACATTTCTTATTACAGAGACATTGATGGCTTCTTTAGCCGTGATTGTGCCACCAAAAGCGGGTTTTTAAAGCCCAAACTTGGTCTGATCGTACCAAGTGGTTTTGGTGCCTCAACATAACCTCATGTTAACACAGTTGTTAAAACATAAAGAAATGTAAAGTTTCAACGTGTCCGCTACATAATAACATATGAATGTTATTTACCTTTGGTTTACAAAAGCATACAGTACAAATATTTTTGTCTGGCGATTGGATTGATACCATAAACTATGTAAAAAATAATGGATGTATCCAACGTGACATCCCCCTATTGGTTTGGGAACTTATGTTTGACATTTTTCTTGTTGTTTTGGAGCCAGAAGTGACCATATTTGGAAACCTCACCAGGTAGCCTGTCACTCACAGAGGCCCCACCCTTAATTAATGTGTAATAAAATAAAAATGAACCCCTGTACAGTTGTCATATATGGGGATATTTGCCCTTGAGACCAAATACCATTATTTGTACCAAGCTGTAAACATGTTTATTTCTGTTATAAAGTTAGGCATTCTAACATGGGGGTCTACTGGGATTGGCTTTCTTCTGGAGTCAGCCTCAAGTGGCCATTAGAGGAACTGCAGTTTTGGGCACTTAGGCTTCATTTTTCAGCCCCAGAGGTTGCCACTTGTTTAACACACACCTATCACATCTATAGATTGGTGGCTCTGCACTGTGTTGGTCTGTCGGGGGACTATAAAACAGGTGATGATACTTTGAAAGCAATGCTTCTTCGTTACATGGCAGAAAAAACATCCATTA